CGGCCATGGAGCAGCAGTCCTGGGTCTGCCCCCCCAGATGGCAAGGGAGGAAGGGCCCCTTCCACTCACCCCCGCCCCTAAACCCTCTCCTTGCACCTTGGAGGTCAGGGCTAAGAGGGCCCCATGGAAAAACAAGCAGCCACCACCAGAGCTGGGGTTTGGGTGCCTCAGTGCCCCCCCATGGGATCCCCAGGATCTCCTTCCGGCCCCGGCCCCCCTACCCACTGAGCCACCTGTGTGTAATGGGCCCATGCCAGGGACCCTGAGCCCTAGAGAGGGTCAGGGGATGCTCCAGGTCCCTCCAAAGCTGGACAGCCATGGGCCTGGGTGTGGGCAGGGGCAGGTGGTGGCCCCGTGAGGGCCAGGCTGGGGTGGGACCCAGCTTTGAGGTGAAGGTGGACTTTGAAGACAGAATAGTGCACTTTGAGTCCCAGCGTGAGCAGCCACAAGCTGGCAGGGCCGCGGGGGGCTCTGGCTCTGTTTTCCAAAAACACAGATGGGCCGGGAAGGGGGTCAGAAAGAGGCCTGGGCGGAATGTGGGGCCACAGAGCCCCTGAGGGTCCGATGACTCAGCAGCCTGTGCTGCACAGAGCCTCGGGGGGGGGGCTCCCCAAAGCCTACAGGCCTGCAGACCCCCAGGGCTGGGCGGCCTCCAGTCTGGTTCCATCCCTGGTGAGTGGAGGGCCAGTTCTGGCTCTGGCCCCAGCAGCCCTGTGACACTGTCCAGGGCTCACAGCCACCTGGGTCTAGACATTCTCAGCCTCCCTGGGTGAGGAGAGCCTGGCAGGCACCTCGGCCTTATCCTCGGCCTCAGGGACCCTGACTCTGATTCGTCCTCAGCTCATGGGCACCCTGAGATCCCTGTCACCCTGTCTTAGAGAGTGGGGACTGTGGGTTGACCTTTGGCTATGGCCCATTTCCCGGGGGCAGCCTCAGCGGTCCCTGGGGTCAGGGACAGGGTCTCCCACCAGCAGCAGATGGGCAGGAAGTGGGGAGTCCAAGCGAGGTGGGGTGGGGCCTGGGACGACCTGGGTGTAGGGGAGTGAGCTGAGGACGCAGAGGAGCGGGCAGGAGGCCGGCAGGGAGCTTGGCGCCAGCACAGCCGTGAGAGGGACGACGGGGAGGCCGCCTCCAGCCAGCCCCACTTTCGAAGGAATCTGCCTCGCTGTTCCTGAGACCCAGGCCAGAAACAACAGTGGGAGGAAGGGCGGAGGGTGCGGAGGCGGCACCCCAGCGCGTCATCTCCGCGTTCCCAGACCCGGTCTACTGTCTACCCCTGCCCTCAAACATTCTTTCCAGTGGACCTCCCTTCTCCTCGAGGCGCTGGTGGAGGGGGCAGTGGGAACGTGCTGACCCCGGGCCGCCCGGACCCCAGCTCCAGGCCGTCTTCGGCCCCAGGTCCCAGCCCCTGAAGCCCCTTCCTCACATGGGAACCAGCAGTTGACCTTGAGTGGCTGAGGGACGGACCCCCCTCCCCACCACCACTGGCCTCCAGCCTCCGCTGGCCCTGGGGACCCTCAGCAAAGGCCACAGCCGGGTCCACTTCCAGCCACAGCTGGCTGAGCAGTGACTAGGATGGGACAGTCTCCCTGGAGTCTTCTCACCTGGGTGCTCTGTGACTCTAGGGGCCTGCAGGTGGGGCTCAGAGTCTAGCCACAGGCTTTCTCGGAATATTAGCGACTCAGGACATGTGTCCGGGGCCTCGGAGAAACCCAGGTCAGTGAGAGGCTGGCCTGGGCTTGACTTGGGGGCCGAAATTGGACCTGAGCAGCCCGGGGGCCTCTGCGGACACCCCTCATCATAGTGAGACGCCGCTTCTCATTCCTAAGCCCCACGCTCTTCAGAGTCCTGGTTGGCCAGCTGGGCAGGGCCCCCCACAGCCACTACAGCCCCCGGGAGTGCCCAGCAGGGGCGGGGCGCAGCTGCTCACACCCTGGGCAGCCCCGGAGCCTGGAGCCTCCGCCCGGGCCGAGTGCATCAAAAGTGAGGCTCTGGTGCCATCTGCTGGTCACACCTGTGATTGGCGGCTCCTGGCCACACTGCCGGGTGTGAAAAAAGCTCCGGGTGCTGGCCAGGCCCTCGAGCAGGCCCCCCACATCCCCCTCCCCTCACAGCCTGGCTGGAGGCAGACACCGGCCAGCATTCAGCCCAAGTTCTGCCCAGGGCCAGCGTTCCCAGAAACCCAGGCTTAAGAGCCACCTGCTCTAGCCTCACTTTCTTCCCTGGGGCTGGGAGCCCTGGAGGGCGGGGGGTCACCCTCAGCATCCCTTCGTCCACTCTCATCGCCCCAGGGTCTGCTCAGGCCTGGAGACACCGAGGACAGTAAATATTTGCTGCCGACAGGCAGGAGAAGGCAAACACTGTCCCAACGCCAGGCGAAGGTGCCAATTATCCATGCCAGGGGAAGACGCAATCCAGGAAGCCAGCCTGGAGGCAGCCACACCTCCGTGGTGCCCGGGTGCCACATGCCTGGCTCCCGGGTATAAGAGCTTCCTCCCTGCGCAGCACACGTGAAGGCAGGACGCTCAGACAGAAGGCTGCATGCTCCTCCAGGCACGGGCAGAGGCTTCAAGGGGGGCCGGCAGGTTTGCGGGGCCTTGGGGGGCAGGTGCCTTGTGACTGGGCAGCAGTTAGATGGACCCAACGCCAGGGTAAGGGGTGGGGCTGGAGGCAGCCGAGTGCCCCTGCCAGCACCGTGCGCATGTGGAGCCCAGGTTCCAAGGCCAGGCAGATCGCTGGACACTGGAGGTGTCTGTCCTATTGCTTTCCAGAAGGGGTGGAGCACAGGCAGCGGCCAAGCTCCGTGGGCCTGGCTCACATGGGGTGACCTGGGAGCCCTAGGAGCATCCACACTCCCCGGCCAGGGCGTCTGGGGGCCAGTGCCCAAGGTGGTGCCCGACAGGAGACTGGGTCTGATGCTGCCCCTGCACCTGGGTCACCTTGACAGTGCTTCTCACTGGGGCCGGGGGGATAGAGGGACTGTCCCTTGTTCTGGCCTCCCATGTCCGGCTTTTCCAGGACACAGTAGTGCGGGGGGTCAAGGGGCTGAGAAGCCAGGCCTGGGGGCCAGAGTCCCGGATCTCAGCAAGATGAGAGCTGGCCCCAGCTCTGGCCCAGGGCAGCTGAGGGCACCTCGAGCCATGGCTGAGTCTTTTGGGTGGCAGCCTTGCCCTCCCCTGAGGCCTTGGGCCAGAGGTCCCCCAGGACAGAGTCACAGAAGATTTGGCCCCCAGAGGACACTCCACAGTCCTCAGCACCAGCCAGCGCCAGCTGCCCTATAAGTCCCGGGAGGCTGGGACAGCCCCAGGGGTCCCTGGACACCACTCTCCACAGCTCCCCATAGAACGCTGACCCCCTGGCCAGGCTTAAGAAACACCTGTCCTGGCCTCACTCTGCCTATCACTCCCCACGGCCTTTTGGCCATCAGGGGTGGCCAGGGCAGCAGCTTGTCCAATGGCCGCCTGGAGGGCAGCCTCCCAGCGGGCCCACTGCAGCCCCTCTCAAGCTCACATACCTTGGCTCCAGCAGGGCACCTCTGGCTCTACCGGTGCGAGTGGGGCCGGCCGGGTGTTCCCATGGACAGCTGCCACTGATTCCAGCCACCGCCTCCCTCCTCTTCCGGGGCCAGTGTCCGGCCAGCCACCCGCCTGCCTAGTCTTGGCCCCCGCTCTGGGGGTGGGGCTAGATGGGGGCTGTGACAGCTCTGGGCAGAGGGGGAGCTGATATGGTCATGGGGAAGGGGCGAGCTCAGAGCTTCAGGGACAGGGCTACCCCAATGGCCAGGCCCCCAGCTGGAGGGTGAGTGCCTGGCCTGAAGCCTAAGGTGGCAGTGTTCTGCAGCCCCAGGCCATATCAGCCCCAGGCCCAGCCGTCCCCGGCCCAGTCCTGGGTGGAGCTCTCAGGAAAGGTCCAGATTGGTTTGGCCTGGGTGGCGCGCAGGCTGGCCCGGCCACAGGGTGTTTAGGGTCACCCGCTGACCTCCCGGGCCACAGTAAGCCCAGGCAGCCCCTGGGCTTTCATCTGCCCACCAGGCTGGGTGCCCAGTGGAGCCACCCTGTGCCCAGAGGTGCTGAAGAGGAGGATTTATGTCAGGACCCCCAAAGACCTGCAGCCCAGCGTGACGTCATCACCAGGGCTCGTGCGTCCTTCCAGATGAGTGGCAGGTCTGTAGATACGAAGCTGGCCATGTGGCCCTACTTATGGGGAGGGTGACGGCAGAGGGGCTGCAGGGGGACCCTGGCCCTGGTCTCTGCCCTGGTGGCCTTGGCGGTTCCCTGTCCTCCTGGGCTGCAGTCCTCTGGGCTTCCAGCCAGGGTGCCCAAGGTGTGGGTTCCAAGGCCCTGCCCACTGCTTCCACCGTCCTCACACCTGCCCCAGCTCATGCTCCCATCTGACCTTCCCTGCTCCCTCCAAGGCACGAGTGGGGCCCCCAGGTGTCTGGGCCTGGATGTTATGGGCTGTGGCTGCAGACCGCTGCCAGTTTGGGCCTCAAGGCCAGGGTGTGTGACTGCTCCGGGACTGCCTGGAGCTGGGGATAGTAGGTACCACTCGGCATCCTCCCCCCACTTCCCAGCCCCCGCCTGCAGGACCCGCTCCAGCAGCCCAGCCTCCTTCTTCCACAGGGACTCCATCAGAAATAGCTGTAAAAATGGAACCTGGGAGGGCTAGGTGGGGGAAATGCTGGAATCTTCTCATCCCCTTTCCTCAACAAGGTCTCTGGGGACTCCAAGAGCCCAGAGCTACTGAGCAAGAAGTCATTTCCCAGTGGCCCCGCCACCCGGCCTCTCAAGAGACCCCCCCCAACTCTGAAACTGGACCCTGAGCCCCAGCGCGGGAGTAGCAAAGAGGCAGCCAACAGGCACCACCACTTTGGGGGGCCTGGCCAGTGAGGGCACCTATGGGCATCTAGAGAGTGTCTAGAGAGCTAGGAGGGGCTCATAACAGTGCCAGGAAGCGGGGCCTGGCCCAGGGCCCCGAAAACACACAGACAGCACAGCAGAGCTGGTTCGAGGCTTTATTCCATCACTCGTGGTGCAGGTGCAGAGGGTGCAGGCCGCATTTGAGCCTGCCTGCGGGCCGCGACTAGCTGCGGTTCTCCAGCTGGCAGAGGGAGCAGGTGCTGGTGCAGGTGGCAGTGGGCACGGGGTGGCCTGTGGGCCCAGTCTAGTTGCAGTAGTTCTGCAGCTGGTAGAGGGAGCAGATGCTGGTGCAGCACTGATCCACGACGCCACGCTTCTGCAGGGGACCCTCCAAGGCCGGCAGGCTGCCCGTGATAGAGCCCCCACCCAGCTCTACCTGCCCCACTGCCAGGGCGAGCCACACAGAGCAGGTCCAGAACAGCAGTGAGGAAGAGGACACAGGATGGCACAGTCAGGGAGAGACGATGCCCGCCTGCCCACCAGCCCCAGGTCACGCTCCCACCCCTCTCCAGCCAAGCTGGGCCCAGGTGGAGGAAGGGTGGCTCACACCAGATGTGGACATAGAGGGCTTCAATGCGCTGGGTGGTGCCATGGCGGGAGGCTGAACAGGTACCCCCGGTACGTCTTCCCAGGGCCTGTCCCCAGCGCCTGCCTCATTTCCTGACTTTGGAGCTGTCGTGAAGCCCAGGGACACTGTGGCCAGCAGCCATGTCCTCCTCAGGTGCCATGGGGCGTTTGTGACCCTGTGACCCCAGGTCACCCAGGACTTGATGTACTCAACAAAACACTGGAAGCTGCAGTTTTCGGGTGAGGGTGGAGAAGTGGGCTGCGGGGCACTTGCTTGAGGGGCACATGAAGGGAGGAATCTGCCCTGCCCGCCCTCTTAGGTATCTCGGAGCTCAGCTGCCGAAGCCAATACCGTCCTCAGGCTGAGTTTCTGCTGGGGCCGCAGGGAGCTGGTCACGTTTTAGGATGTGACCAAGAGAACTTCATCTCTTTTTAAAAAGTCCACCTGTTGCCCAGGCTGGGTGGGAGCAGCAGGAGCAAGGGTGGCTGGGGGTGGTGGGGGGAGTGAGGGGCGGTGGGGCTCACCCTGCAGGTCCTCCGCCTCCCGGCGGGTCTTGGGTGCGTAGAAGAAACCTCGCTCGCCGCACACCAGGTAGAGGGCTTCCACCAGGTGGGGGCCGCACAGGTGCTGGTTCACAAACGCCGGGGCTGGCTCGGGTCCCCAGAGGGCCAGCAGTGCCAGCAGGGGCAGGAGGGGCATCCACGGGGCCATGGTGGAAGCACAGCGGCCTGGGAGACAGGCAGGGCTGAGGCCGGCTGAAGGTCAGGTGCCCTGCCCTGGGGCCCCTGGGCTCACCCAAATGCTTCAGAGCCCAGCCATGCCCTCCCACTGCAGAGCTGGGGCCTGGGGTCCAACTGCTCTGCAACCCCCAAGTGGGGCAGCCCTGGGCCCAGGCTGGCTCAAAGGCCCTTGGAACACACCTGCTGGCTGGTCTCCTGCGATGCAGCTGGTCCCGGAGGGCTGAAGGCTGCTGGGTCCCCGCTGGCTTTATAGGCCCACAGCCCATCTTCCCTACGTGCCAACCCTGCCGCCTGGCCCATTAGGGCCTGGGGTGCAGGGCTGGCAGATGGCTGGGGGCTGAGGCTGTACCTTCCAGATCATTTCCCGGCTGCTGGGTCGGCGGGAATATCTCCCTGGTCCTCAGGGCCAGGGAGGGGGTCATTAGATTCTTAACCAGGGTCCTCGTGGCCAGACCTGTGCCTGCTCGCAGCTGGGGGTAAATGTCTCCCGGAGAGCACAGCCCTCATCTGGGCCACTTTCCACATTAGACCAGGAGAGCAGGAGGCTGCAGGGCGGGGTTCTTCATGTTGCTGTCCCCAGACTCCTGCCCTCCATCTCTGGTTGCCTGAGATGCCCCCATGGGTGGGCAGAGGTTGCGGGGTGGGGGAGCGAGAAGGCCCCCTTCCTGCTGGCTGCCCAGTTCCCACCCCACCCCAGGACAGCAGCCCCAGCTGAGGCCCTCAGTTCCCCTGGGTGGCAGGAGGGCAGGACCCAGGGACCCAGGGACGAGCAGCGGGTCCCCAGCAGGCTGCCTGGACCTCATCTTCCCTGTGATCTGTGGTGGCTGCAGGGCTCCATGGGCAGGTGTGGGAAGCACCGTCCTGGCCCCATAGGCACCTTCCTGGCCCCCACTCCTCTTCCAGGAGCCCCTGCCCATTGCTCCTCTCCTGGCCAGGCCCCACGATCCCATCACCCCCACAGTGTCATCTGGGCTGAGCCCTGGGGAGGCAACTGGAGGTCAGCTGGACCCATCGGGAGTGCAAGGGCTCCGAGCCTCATTGCCCGCAGCCCCTAACCACCTTTGAGCGCCAGGGGCAGGATCAGGAGGTCCCAGCAGCAAGAGGGCAAGATCATGGCGCAGGCAGGTTGGGGCATTGTGTGCCCCGAACCCTCTCATCCCTGTGCCCCAGCCTGGCCTCAACTTCAGAGCCCCTGGGGGCCACCCCGAGCTCTCCCAGCCTTAGCATCTCCTGCCTATCCAGTTTGGTAGTGGGCACCAGCTGACTGTGGGTCCCTCCCTTCCACCCCTTCCACCCTGAGCCGTGCTGTAGCAGGACCTGTGATGACTGCCCCAGGATGCCACCATGCTCTGAGGCCCTGCAGTGGGGCAAGACAAGTGTGTAGGGAGAGAGCCTGGATGGGGGTGCTCAGGTGGGAGAGCAGAGCCAGGGGCTGGTAGGGTCAGGGGCAGCGAGGTAGGCACAAGCTCTTCCCCAGGGCTTCCTTGGGGCTCACAGCCCTTCAGAGACACTCCTAGTTGCAGCCTCTAGGTGCCTGCAGGGGCTGGGCTCCGACACGGTGTGTGAGGAACAGACTGCCAGGCTGGGAAGGACTGCTGTGCCCGGGAGGGCCTTGACGGATGAGTAGGAGTTTGCCACGGTTGTCAGCCTGCGAGCTCCAGGACCCCAGCAGAGTGTGGTGGGGCAGCTGGAGGGAGGGAGGGGCATTGAAGGCCAGCTGGTGTCCTGGCCCACCCTGCAGGATGCCTGGGGTTGCTCTCTCTAAGATAGGAAGCGGCACCCGGCTGGCCAGGCCTGGAGGGTGCTGGGTGCTCTCTCTGGAGGACATCTCCCTCTCACAGCAGCCTCCTGGGGAGACAGGCCCAGGGCATCTGCTCAGCCACCAGCTCAGCTGGACTATCCCATCAGCACACGTTCTGGGGGCCATGCTGAGACCCCCCTCAGATCGCAGGTCCTGCTCCAGGTGGGTGGGACATTGGAGCATCTGTCCCTCTCCCCGGTCCTCTCAAGGGCTGGGAGCCCCATCAGCAGGGGGTGCTAGGCCGGCAGGCCCCCCTCTGAGGCCACCCCCAGCCAGCACAGTTGTGACCCCTGCTCCCTGCCAGGCCTGAGAGAGACCCTCCCACTGTCACCTGGCTCCCTACCTCGGGAGGGCACCCAAGGAGATGGGGCAGCTCAGCCAGGGTGCCCGAGGGGCTCAGAGCTGGGCGGGGCCTCAGGGTGAATGGGGAAACTGGCCCCAGAGGGGCCTGCTGCCTAGCCAGGATGATCAGCCATCTCCCAGAGGAGGAAGGAGGCCAGGGCGAAACCTCTGAGTGAGGCTAGGGTGGGGGCGAGGGAGCCTGGGGCTCCCAGGGTCTGTCTTTGCGGCACAGACACGGGGCCAGGCAGGCAGAGGCACACTTTCTTTTATTGTGACAGTGGATGGGGCAGCAGATGGGGTCGGAGCAGGGCAGAGGGCAGCACAGCAGCCTCCAGGACAGGACCTCACCATGGGCACACGCAGCTGTTGTGCTGAGAAGCAGGCATCGGGGCAGCAGAAGCCTGGCAATGGGGAGGGCGTGGGGGGCAGTGGGACCCAGCCCCTCACCAGGGCCCTCGGTGGCGCCCTGAACCTAGCCAATGGCACTCAGTGCGTGGGCCAGGGTGTCCAGCTGGTCCTGGACACCCTCCAGGGAGCGCCGCACGGCCTGGGGACTGTCCAGCACATCGACGGCCCGTGTGTACGGGTCGAACTTCACGGAGAAAGGGCGCTGGATGCGTGAGGCGTAGCTCCTGGGGAGGAGAGCGGCAGAGCCCTTGGTCAATCAGCGGACAGAGTCTGCGGCCTCCAGGAGAGGGGGAGGCCAGCGGCCGCATTTCCACCATCACAGTGGCTCCAAGCTCCCAGGGCTTTTCTGAGCCACCTGGTCACAGGCAGGACACTGAGGCCTCCTCCAGGGCTGGGAGAGGGGTTCACGGGGAGACAGGCCAGGCTCCTTTTCCACCAGAGCCTCTGCCGGGCACCCCATCCTTGTCTGCACCTCCGCCAGGCCTCATTCTCCAGGAAGCCCTCCTTGACCACATCCCTAAGCCTGTGTGTGGAATTCAGCACCCGAATCCGACAGACACATAACTCCTGGCCTCATTTTCCCCAGGGCACAAGGGTGGGGCTGGCGGGAAGATGACGAACCCTTTTACTGAGGCTAATGGGCTCTGCTCCCCTCTCCTGACACCCTGGTCACTGTACCAAAGGCCCCTAGCCCCAGAGACCCCACTCCCACCGTGCCCCCACCCTGCCTCTGTCTTCCCCTGACCTCTCCCCATCCCTGGTTCCACAGGACCTCCTCACAAAGCTCAGCTCTGCCAACACCCCCAAGAGTGGTCTTGACCTGGCCTTGACCCAGCCACCCAGCACCCCCAGTCCTGTAGCTCTGCCCCTCCACAGACACTGGGGTCCTGGTCACAGACGGTGTCCCTGCCGTGAGGGGCTGCCGCAATCGGGGATCAGTTTTCTAGTCTGTGACCTGGGCTCACAGCCCAGCCCTGCTCAAGACCTGAGGAAGGCCTGTCTTGTCCAGTTTGGGGGCACAACGGGGGCTCGCCCCAGGAGCCAAGCCCACCTGAGCTTGTCCTTGGCGTCGCTGAAGCTCTCCGACACGAAGTACACAGACTGGTATGTCTGGTCTTGGTAGGGCTGCACGGCCGCAGCTTCGGGGTCGAAGGCCCGGATCTCTGGCTCCTCAGACAGGGAGTGCTGGCGGGAGGCCAGCGGCGTCACTGACCCCACTGACCCCCTGGGGGAACTGGGCACCGTGGCCTGATGCTCGGTGGCTTCCTTGGGCACAGTCACCCCCGCCTCCCCCTCGGTGCCTCCCAAGGCCTGGGAAAGTGTGGGGTGGGCCCAGGCTGCAGTTTCCTCCCCTGAGAGTCTGTCCCCTCCCTGCACTGTCCCCCATGGATGCCCCACCCCTCCGCTGGGGGCTGGGCAAGGAGAGGGTCTCACCAAGAGCTCCCCATAGGAGGACAGCAGCCCAGCGCCGTAGGCCTTCACCTCCCCGTTCTGCTTACACAGCCCAAACTCCACCGTGAACCAGTACAGCTGCGGGGAAGCCCGGCAGCCTCAGCCCAGAGACAGCAGCCGCCCACTGGGCAGCCCTTGGTCACCTGTGACCCGAACACCACCCCAGGGAGGGCAGACCAGGCTGCAGGCAGGCCAGGGTGAGGGTTGCGATTCATGGGTGGAAGCAAAGGCCGCAGCCTGGACAGCAGGAGGACGTGGCCTGGATTTCGGACCCTGAAACCAGACCCAGGCCCTGCAGGGAGGGGTCAACCCACCGTGGACAGCTTCTCAATTTCCTCATCTGAGGCTCCAAGGGATGCCAGGCCGATGTCCTGTGGAGCGGGCAGGAGGATGAAGGGTGGGGAGAGGCAGCCCTGGGTAAGCTCAAGGTGGGGGCGCCAGGGGTGTCAGCAGCCCCTCCAGCGGTCTCTGGGACACTGCCCGGGGGGCAGAGACCTACCCCGGCCACCCCGGGTCCACGACCTCCACCGGGCCTCCTCCTTCAGGCAGCCCTCCTTGACCATATCCCTAAGCCTGTGGGTGCCGTTCTCAGGCAGCCGGCAGATGGCAGCACAGCCCGTGGGAGGCTTCGCTCCAGCCCCGCCCTCTGCCCCTCGACCCTTGGGGCGCCAAGCCCCCCGTGGCGGGACCCAGGGGCAGGCAGCACATTTCACCCACCCACACATCAACCCCCGACCCATCCTCCGCCCCAGGCCAGCCCCTGGGTGACCCCGGTTCCCTCCGAGGCCACAGAGCACCTGGGAGAACTGCGCGAAGGTTCGGTCAGCCAGCATGGGCACGTGCCCCAGCAGCTCATGGCAGCAGTCCCTGTGCAAAGGAGGGAGGGGAGGCTGAGGGGCCGCCCACCGCACCCCTAACCCTCAGGTCTGCCTGCGCGTCGGACGGAGGGGAGTTGAGGAGCCATAGGTCGCACCCCTCACCGGAGGGGCTGCCTATGTGATCGGAGAGGGCAGCTGAGGGGCCGCTGGTCCCACCCCCGCCTTCGGGGCTACCTGCATGGAGGGAGAGGGGACAGAGGGGCCGCCCACCGCACCTCCTACCCTCTGGGCTGTCTGTGCACAGGAGAGAGAGGGCAGCTGAGGGGCCACCTGTTGCATCCCCCACCCTTGGGCTGGGGGCCAGGGCGCGCACTCACGGCTCTGGGGAGTGCATGGGCGAGGACGCGTGGCGGATGTACTGCGTGCACTGGAACACGCGAAAGGCCAGGCTTGCCAGGAAGTCCCGCGCAGACAGCAGGCCGGCCACAGGCCGCAGCTGGAAGCCCGTTCGCTCTGCAAGGGGCCACCTGGTCACAGCCACGCAGGGGCGGGCTGTCTGAGCTGGGCTGGGGCTCATGGCGGCCAGTCCGGCTCCCCGGCTCCCCGACCCTCCCGCCCGGGGCGCACCCTTCAGGAAGCGGGAGACATCCTCCAGCTGCGGGATGTTGTCCTCCCGGTAGCCGCTGAAGCGCTCCAGCAGCGCGAAGGCCTCCAGGTGCTCCCCGCAGGCGTGCGTGGCATACAGCCCCTTCAGCTTGGTGTAGACCTCCTTCCTGCAGGTGGTGGGGCTCAGTCCCTCCCAACACCACAGCCCAGTGCCCGAAACCCTCTCCTGCGAGCCCCTCCTGAGCCGTGGGCACCTTTACCTGCCAGAGCTCCCCCAACACAGGCCTCTCAGGGACCCCTGAAGACCCAGGCCCCTGGGTGGGGCTTTTGCTGGGTCTTTGGGGAATCCCACGGTGTAGGGGGTCGTGAGGGGCGGTCCCTCAGCACCCTGGGGATGGCCCGGCAGGATGGGTAGCCTCTTCCTCCCAATCTGACACTCTGAGCCCTGGAAGTCCCTCCTCTTCCTGGCCTTTGTCCTGCTGTGCCAACATCCCTGGAGGTGGCTCTCACACGCCAGGATCCTGGGAGGCGTCCCCCGGGGCTCCTCCCCAGCCCCTGGCCAGCTAGCTGCTCGGGGGTCTCACCAGGTGGCAATCTCTTCAGCGGTGTACTCCACACGGGGAATCGGGTCGCCACTGGGGAGAGGCCAGTGGTCAGCAGGTGCTCTTGGAGAGCAGGAAGGTGCAGGAGGGAGGGAGGGAGGCAGGAAGGGAGCCTCACCGGCCACAGGACCACACCCGCCTTGTGCAGCGAGGACTCTGGGGTAGAGGATGGAAGGAGGGAACGCCCTGGCTGACTATACCATGAGCCGGTTGTGTGGCCTCTGTGGGTTGCTCTAGCCACCGTGTGCCTCAGTTTCCCCACTGGGATTTGGGGACAAGGGAAAGCCCTGGAGCAGAGCTGCCTGGCAGGAGGCACTGATGCTGGTGACAAGATGGGTCCTCCTCTCTGTCCTTCCCTCCCGCCCCCCAGGTCGAGCGTGAGCCTTCAGGACAGAGTCTGGGTCCCCAGCACAGGGGTTCCTCACTGCCTGTACTGGAAGGCGATCTCGGCAATCTGCTTCCTGCGCTGACGGTACACCTGGTCGGAGAAGCCCTGAGGGCAGAGGGGATGCGTGGGTCAGGGGGCTGTGCCCGGGAGAAGCCCTGAGGGCAGAGGGGATGCGTGGGTCAGGGGGCTGTGCCCGGGAGGAGCCCTGAGGGCAGAGGGGATGCGTGGGTCAGGGGGCTGTGCCCGGGAGGAGCCCTGAGGGCAGAGGGGATGCATGGGTGAGGGGGCTGTGCCCGGGAGGAGCCCTGAGGGCAGAGGGGATGCATGGGTGAGGAGGCTGTGCCCGGGAGGAGCCCTGAGGGCAGAGGGGATGCGTGGGTGAGGAGGCTGTGCCCGGGAGGGATGCGGGCCTCTGGGGCTTCTGAAACTGACAGACTCCCATCCAGGCTTGGGCTAAGGGTAGGGATGTGATCCGGATGGGAGGCTGGGCCCTCTCGCACCACTCACCGGGTGGTCCAAGTCCAGGTCAGGGTCGAACTTGGTGACCAGGTGATGACACTTGTCCAGGTCTGACACTTTCCTTGGGAACCAGGGGACTTCAAGGGGGATAGAGGAGGAGGTCCTGGTGAGCTCGAAGCCGTGGGACCGAGTCACCCACCTTGAAGCAGCCTCCCCGATAAGACTTCCCGGGGGGTAGAGGCAGCTGGGCTGTGATAACTGTGGGGGGATCCTGGAGGTGGCCTCAGGCCCGGACACGGATGTGTGGAAAATGGAGGGAGGAGTGGAGCCAGTGGAGAGGGAATCCCACGTTCCCCAGGCCACCGCCCCGTGGTCACTATAGGGTCCCCCTGCAGGAGCTTCTGCACCCCAGAGCCTCAAAGTCATTTGGTGGCACTCAGGACAGAAAACCAGCCTCACCCTTGTGCTCCACGGGGCTGCGCACATCCTCTGACACCTGGCGCACGCCACTGAGCAGGGCGGCCAAGTCCCCTCTGGGCACTTCCACCCGCACGAAGTACTCCAGGTGGGGGCCCCCCACTCTTGGCCTCTGGGCTGGCCGGCTCTCTAGGTGGTGGATTTTGGCTTCAAATGTCTTAGGGGGCAAAAGCAGGAAGAGAGGGGGAAGGAGAAAGACAGAGACAGAGAGAGTGAGGAGGAGAGGAGGAGGAGGCACATCCGGTCGGCTGGCCTGGCCCGGCCCAGCCCTGCCCTTGACCTTTGCAGCACACAGACCCTGTTCTCCCTGGCTCAGGTCAGCGTGGGCCACCAGGCTAGGGGTCGCCACTGGCAAACTGGGTTTTGTGTCACGCACATAACTGGGAGTTGTCACCACGTGAGCCTTGACCTGCTTCTGGGCGGCTCTGTCTGTGTGTCCCGAGGCCGTGCCACACAGCCTGGCTCCCCAGCCACTGGTCAGAAGCTGCCCCCAACTCCGGAGCCTTATCCAGGATCTCAGGGTGGGGGACACTGAGTCTCCCTGGCCCCTGAGCATCCAGGGCACTGGCCGGAAGGGGCCGCTCCACCTCCCCCCAACCTTGTTGCCGAGCAACAAGGACCATGGGTCGCAGTGGCCCTCAGGCCAGGAAGCCAGCTCTGAGAGCTGGTGGGGAGTCTGGCTTTAATGTCATTTGGGAGCCTTTTCCGGGAGCCGGGTCACCTGCCCCCCGGGCACAGTGGGTCCGGAGTGATTAATGCAATCGGCGGTCACCTCAGTTGCTGTGCTGGGCAGGTGGGAGGGGGGCGCCTTGCCCTGCCCCTGCCTTCCATGCTGCCCTGCTGGGAGCCCCCCCCATGTATGAAACGGTGAGTGAGGGGCAGCTGGGGGTGGGCAAGGCAGGGGGCACAGTGAGGCTTGGTGGCCTCAGCCCTAAGGCTAGGCTCAGGATCCCTCAAGAACATGGGGTGTAGCCAGAGGCCACAGGGGCTGAACCGAGGCCTAAGACTCCCCCGCTCCACCCTGTGCTGGCCTCAGGGGCCTGGACAGCTGTGTCTCTGCTATAAAGAGGTCAGGGACTCACCCCTTCTGCCCACAGCCCCACCCACAGGTGCACTTGCCCCAGGGACACAGAGGCCACCAGCTCACCTCGAACACCTTCACAGCTTGGGACAGCGCAGAGGGCTTGGTGGCCCTCGGGGAGAAGAGCAGGTTCAGCACCGCCTTCCCCTCCTTCTCCTCAAAGGCCACGGCCTCCAGGGGGTCCCCAGCCTGCGAGGAGGCTGCGGCAGCCTCTGCCGCCACCGCTGCCTCCCGCTCTTTTCGGGCGTCCTCGATGAGGCTCTGCTGCCGCCCAGTGAACCTCGGGGACTGTGGGAACAGGAGCACCCGTGTCTCCTCCACCTGCTGAGTCCCTGGAGGCTGGTCCCACAGAGGCCAGGGAGGGAGCACATTGCTGAGCATCTACTGTGCTCCTGCTGGGGCAGATGCTAGCTGACTGCGGGCATCAACCCCGGTGGGGGCAGCCCAGCCAGAAGTGGTGGCAGTAGGGGAGGAGTGGGGGACTGTGGGGAGCAGACAGACAGAGGCACTATGTCACCTGTCCCCAGGCCAGGCGCTAACCGGATTAGTGATGGGAAGAGGGCGATGTCTCGATGGACGGTGCCATCAGCTACCGGGGAGGGGTCGGCAGCTGAGGAAAGAGCTGCCCCCACAGAGCCCAGTGAAGAACGCTCCTAGCTTCTTGGTTTCCGCACAGGGTCCCTTTCGCACGCCTCCGTCGGGGCACCTGTCCTCCGGCCCTGCCCCTCTTCACTACCCCCGTGTGCCCGCTCCTGGCTGCCCCGTCGTCTCTCCACCCTTTGTCACAGCTCTGGATGCAGGTGTCTCTCCCTGGACTCAGCCCCTCTGACCCCTCGATCCCAGAGCCGTCCCAGGCCTGGACAGAGAGGCACTTGTCTGATGCCTGGGGCTCATGTCATGGAACTGAACTCCCGAGACAGCTCTGGGCCCCTTGTAAGAGAAGAATCGGCTTCATCCTGCGATTCCAGGTCGAGGAGCATGTCAGCAGGAGCCCCCTCGGAGCTCCCCTCACCCTTGGGGGGGGGGTGTGGATGCAGCTAGAGCTGCAGTTCCAGGCTGTGGAGAGCCTGGAGGCTGGGCCCCAGGTCCCCTGGGGAGGGGATGCCTGATGGGAGCCTGGCGGTGGGAGGGCGCTCTGTACCCCTGAGAAGGTGCATGGAAATGACCCTGCTGCAACCACACCATGTTTCATTCAAGGTCCATAAATAAAAGCCTCTTTTCAATGTGCCAGGGAGCTGACAGTTCTGAGTGCCTCAGCAGGCGCCGAAGACCCGTCCTGCGGGCTGAGACACTCCCGATTATCCGGCCTGGCCGGCACAGCCCTGTGGACACAGAGCTCCCAAGTCTGGGCCACAGGGGACTCAGACTCCATGGTGAATGAATGAGGGAAGGAAGGAAGGGAGGAAGGGACAGGCCGAAGGGAATTGCCCCACAGCCCAGATACCCTTTGACTCTGGACTTGCCCCCTATTTGCCCAGGACCCCCCACCATGAGCTGCTGCTAGAGCCTCAGAAGGGTCTGGGAGGTGCCTCCCCGAACAGGTGGGCTGGTTGGGGTGCTGACAGGGCAGCTGGGACACAGGGAGGAAGGGGCAGGTGGGAGCAGGGTGGGGGTTGCGTGCATGCAGCAGCCAGGGACCTCTGGCTATCTGGGATTTGGGGGATGGATTTTTTTTCCATGTTTTCATCATTAAGATTCAAGATGAAGGGGACCCATACAACCCTGGGGAAGGCCGACCCAAGAGGAGCACACGCAGGGACAGGCACTGCCTCACTCTCCCCCCGCAGGGACCCACACACCAGGCATGGGGGTGCCGCCATGCCCAGGACTCCACACCCATGCTGAGAACCAGGGGTCTGCATGGACCCAGAGCTTGGAGCTGCCAGCTAGGCTGGGGAGCAGCAGAGGCAAGTGGCACCAGCCCTGGGCTCCGGTCCACTGAAGCCCCTGGGCACCTACCTGCCCTCTTACCATGATGGCCTCTGCCTGCTTGGCGTCCAGCTCAGACACAGCCCTGCGGAAGCCCTTGGCCTGTGGTGCGGTGGCGTCAGGGGTAGGCATGGTTCAGTGTGGAGGTCCGGGCTCTGTCTCCACAGCCCTGGCCCAGCGGCCTCTTATAAGCTGAGCTGACGTCAAAGCCCACTCTGGGTCCCCCACCTTCCCCTCCTCATGTCCCCCACCCCTGCCTGCTGTGCCTGGTGGAGGCGGGGGTGGGTGAGGAGGGAGGGACGGAGGCGCAGGAGAAAGGGCTCGTCTGCGGAATATAATTGCCTCCACTCCCCAGCCCTGTCTGAATCATCCTCAGCCTGAGGCGGGCAGGGACCAGGGGCTGGCTCGTGCTCTGCAGGGGGCTGAGACAGCCAGGGTCCCCTTGGCCTCATACCCCTCAAGGGGGCCCGCAGGGAGGGGCTGTCTGGGCAACCCAGGGGCACACTTTTAATGAATGCCAGACCCTTGTGGCAAACACACCCAGAAAACCCCAGGATGGGCGATCCAGCCTCAGACACCACGAGGCCATTTGTTTGCTTCTCCAGACAATTCCAGGCCCTGTGCCTGGTAGACATGGTTCCGGGGAGTGACACCTGCCCTCAGCCCCTAGGCCCTGCACGTGCGGCTCACGGGAGCTGGAATGTCCCAGACGGCCTGGCTGTCCAGTGCGGAGGACCCAGGAGGCTGGAGGGAAGGCATCTCTGAGGAGATGCCCTGTTGTGAACTGAACGCGAGCCCGGGAATCTCATCCAGCGAGAGGGTCCCAAACCTGGAAGAGAGCGCGCGCCGGAAAAAAGGAGATAGAAAAGGCGAGGTCCGGAGGGCTACACGCGCTATGCTCATGCAGCTATTTTATTTTTGCAATGTTTCATTATATACTTTTCTGAAGTTAAAGTTGTTTACGCCAGATCAACATACTTAAGTTACACCCAGTAAGTAAGTTACGCCCAATAGGTCAAGGTAAGTAGATTACAGTGGCGCCCTGTAAACTATGGTAAATAAGTTACAGTTAAGCCCTGTAAGTTATGATAAGTAAGTTACCAAGTGTAAATACTTAAGTTAATATTTTACAGTGAAGGTAACAAGGGTCCAAAATGAACACAATGAGACAATAAACCATAAGAAGCCGAAAGTAGACACATTGCCTCCCAAGTCCTCATACCCATAAAGTAATGTGTTAATTATTTAGAATAACATAGTCCCTCTCTCGGTTCCTGCTTTCCCTCAGCTCGACTCCCCCAACCAGGGATCTGTGTCCGGGCTCAAGCTCACCGTATGGCGAGGCCCATTTCCCAGGGGCCTCACACGGGAGCGATCCCCACAGATCCCTCAATGCCCACATTTCCGAACGGCTCCCACCTCCTGCATGGCAGTCCCTACCAGAGTGTCCAGGGAAACCAGGGCTAGGACAACACCCCAGGGACAGCTTCCACCCACTTCACGCAGCCCCTCCATGGCCCGCCACTGGCTCCCGGCTTCCCTTGGAGGTCCTGTGGCCCCTCTTTTAAAGAGCATGCCTGACCCTCAGTGCTGAGGGCCCAACAGCTGAGAGAGACCTTGCAGCTCCTCCTCCACCCCAGTGGGTCCCGGGACGAGGGTGATCCCGGGGTGACACAACAACTCCCTTGAGGACAACCCCAGCTGAGCGCCTCTCCCAAGTTTTGTGTTCACCCCACGATCCACAGACCCCGTGCCCAGCCCACGCCCACTGGCACCTCCTGCTCCCAGCTGCTGCCCTGACCCAGGCAGAGAGGTCCCTGCCCAGAGTGGCTTTTGGCCCTTCTGATGGAAGGGGAGGTCTCCTTTTCCCTCTGGGGTCAGCAGAGATGGCCAGAGCCCACCTTGAAAATGGTGGAGTGAAGAGAGGGAAGGACATAGCCCTGGAGTGCGTGGGCTGTGGCCACCGCTGCCACTGCTGCCCCTCCTGGAGAGGAGCTGCTTCCAATGGGCGTGGGGCCCTCTGCCTCTGCTGGGCTTTCAGGTGTGGGTAGCCAAGGTGACTTGGGCTCAGCAGAAGCCAGAAGCCCGGGCACTCCCTGACTTCTTGAAGGCCTACCCCAGCTGGTCTCTGTGGCACCCAGAGCTGGCATCTCTGAGGGCTGCTCTGCCCCTGTCAGCTGCGGGACCCCCTCAGCCATAGCACCCCTGTGCTAAGTGCTCAGTCAGAGCATTGGAAGACCCCCCACCCTTCCCACTTCCTGCCCCAGGATGTGGGGCTCTGTGACTCACAGCTTGCAATGTCATTCCTCACTCACCTCTTATCCGGGTGAGCTCCTGTGCATCCCACAAAACCCAGCTCAGTCACTGCTCACTCTGCAAGGCCTGCCTTCTTTGCTATGCCTCCCTCTCGCTCCTCTGGAACCTCCCTGGGGGCAGACACTCCGCCCGTTCGGCCCCTGCTGTCTCCCAGTGCCCAGGGCAGACCCTGTCCCCTCTTGAAGACGCTGTGCCCTCTGCAGCAGTTGCCCAGAGGCTTCTACCTCTAGGTCCTGGCCCACAGTAGGTCTGGGGTGCCTGCTCAGAAGGGTGTCAGAGGGATTTGCCTCCAAGACCGCAGCCTGAAGGCCCAACCTCTGGCCTCACCCTGCAGGCTGTGAGCTTCTGTCACCCGGGGCTGAGGCCCCTCCCCCGCCCCCAGTCCCTGATGATGGTCCCCCTGGTGGCCCCGCCTCCATGCTCAGCACCCAGGCCTGCTGAAGCTCTGCACAGCTGTCCCCAACCCTCCTCAAGGACCCAAGAGCCTCATTTACCTCCCTCAGGGTGGGCTGCTGGAGATCCCTTGGTCCCCTAGTCCCCGCCCCAGCTCTACCCAGCATGGCCCTAGTGCTCAGGTGCCCAGGCCAGGAGGAGAGGCCTGCCTGACAAACAGCACGCAGGAGGCCGGTGGCCCACTCCGCCGGATGTGGATTTAACCTTTCAGCAAATGTCTCCTCTGATACAAACACTGCTTTCTAATTCGGTTTCCTGCCTGCGCCAGCCATGCTTTCACGGAAGCCCTACGGGAACTAAGCCTTCTAGACTATTCCTTGGGATCAGGCTCTCCAGAGGCAGGAGCTCAGGCCAGAGAGGCCCCTGAACCCCTGGGAGGCGAGTGCTGCCCTCGGGCTCCTGCACCTGTCGCACCTCCCACCTCCAGCCCCAGCCAGCATTCATCCCTGCCTGTCCATTCCCAAGAAGCCTGCCCCACACAGCAGCCCCTTTAGGGCCACGGGAGCATACTGGACCCTGGATCTAAGGCCCCTGTGGGCACAGAGGTGGCCCCACCCTGCTTTGCGCCATGCCCCTCCCTAATCCCAGATGGACTCATGGAGGCCCCAAAGCCCACCCTGGCCAGCCTCCTCCATCCCAGCCCAAGGGTACCTCTCTAGCCTGGACCACCCAGGCCTGAGCCATATCCTGCATCACCCACCTGCCTCTGCCCCTCTCCAGAGATGCCCAAAAAGACCAGGCCAGCCCCGCTCTGGTGAGGCACCCTCCCCGCTGGGCATAGTCCTGGAGCACACGGCTGGCTTCTGTAGAGCTCAGCGTCGGACAGGCTGCAGCGTCCACCTTCAGGTGGCTGAGGTGTTTACAGACCCAGTCTGCAAATGTGAAGACCGAGGTTCCAAGGTGAGACTTCTCAGGGTCACACAGTAAGTCTCCAGCCCAGGTTTCCCAGCTCCCAACACACTGGTCTTCCAAAGATACAGTGGCACCCATCCCCCGGGGCAGCGGGGCTCAGGACCCCAGACCACAGGGGAGAAACCGGACAGGCTGCTGCAACCTGGAACATCCTACAGCGTCCCATCTACAGAGACCCCAGAGGGAAGGGCAGAGCTGGGACGGGGTTCTCTGGAGGCCCCGAGGTCATGCCCCTAGAGGCCCCTGGTGCCAGCACAAGTGGCCCCTGGGAAGGAGAGGGGCTGGGGCTGAGCCCCATGGGGGCAGGCTGTGAGGAGGGGCCAAGAGTGGGGGCTGGCCCAGGCCAGAAGATCAGAGACAAGGCAGGTGACCAGGGCAGTGGGGGCCTGGCTGGGGTCTGAGTGACCCTTGCTGTGCCCTCCCTTGCACCAGCCCCACCTTCCTGCATGGAGCCCTCTGGCCTCCCTTCCACACCCCACCACCCTCTGCCACTTCCTTCCACCAAGCCCGTGGTTATGCCCCCTGCCACCACAGCCATGAGGGGCACTGAGCCAGTTCCAAAAACAGCATGTTCTCGCTCAACAGCCTCTCAGTGCCAAGGCCCAGTCACCAGATTGTTCCCCCCACATGCCTGTGCCCTGGCACTGGGGCCTGTGCCCAGTGTGGGGCAGGGGCAGAGTGATGGCTTCAACCCAGCCGTGAGGATGTTCCAGCCACAGGGAGAGTCTCCAAGGTCACGGGATCTGCTCCCCAGCCTGGCCTTACCCACCACAGGCGTCCCCAAACCCAGGCTTGCTGGAGGAGCCCAGCTGTGTGCTGCTGGCTGACCGGCATCGCCTGTGGCCCTGCAGGGCCCGGCCATAGCCTGGCTGTGGTGTGCACGGGCTCACGTGGCCCTGTGATCTTGGAGAGACAGCATTGTGTGTGTCATCTTGCAAGTGCCTGGGCAGATGCAGGCATCTGTGTGATGTGCATACACACACACACACACACACACAGGGCACACATGCACACACAACACTCAATGCACGAGCACTATGACACATGTACACACCATAGGTGCAAGCACCATGCACACACTACACATGCAGGCACACTCACACATGACGTGTACACACCACACATGGGCACACTCATCCATGACATATTTACCACCACATGCATGCACACACAGGCAGGCGCACATGACACATGCATGCACTGTATGTACAAGCACATTCATTGACACCTGTACACACCACACATATAAGCACACTCGTGCACACAATACACATACAAGTGCACTCATAATGACCCATGTACACACCAAATCACACACACAGATGCACATGACACACACTACACATGAAAACACACTCATACATGACAAAGGACACACAACATACACAAGTGCCCTCATATATGACACGTTCACACCACACACAAGCACACACCACACACTACGCACGTGCACTCACACATGACATGTGCTCACACCACACACAAGCAGACACCACACACTGTGCATGTGCATTCATACATGTGTTCACACCACACACAAGCACACACCACACACAATGCACATGCACTCATACATGATGCATGTACACACAAGCACACACTACACATGTGCACTCATACATGACACATGTTCATACCACACATCACGCACACAATGCACATGCACTCATAAATGACACATGAACACACAAGCACACACCACACAATGCACATTCACTCATACATGACACATGTTCACACCACACACAAGCACACACACCACACAGAATGCACATGCACTCATACATGACATGTACACACAAGCACACAC